CCCTCCTTCCCTCTCCCTCTCCCTCTCCCTCTCCCTCTCCCTCTCCCTCTGGTCCTGCATGTGCCACTGTCTCTGTCTCTGTGGGTCTCTCTCCGTCTCCGAGTCTGTCTCTGTGTCTCCATCTTTCTCAGCCTCTTCAGTGGAAACCTTACTCGTGAGTGTAAATAAATGGTCGCAAAGATACACTGTAAAGGGGGCAAGGCCTTGTCACCCCAGACCTCAGTGCCCTTCACAGAGACCCCTCAGGCTGCTAGGTGCTGTCCTTCCAGATGTTTCCATGCATATGCCCAAGCATGCAAACTGACGGAGATTCCTGTTTACTCAGCCGGGCATCAAATGCATGACGTGTTGGAACTCCCTAAGCCCTCGAGTAGAGTAATGGATCTTTCTTCCTCACTGTGAGCAAGGGTGCCCGTATTGCATGTTTATAGGTATCTGTGAACATGTGCTTCCGTGTGTGTGTGTGTGTCTGTGTATGTGTCTGTGTGTGTGTGTGTGTCTGTCTGTCTGTCTCCTGTGCTCTAATCTAAATGATTCCAACCTCCTTTCTCTGTCCCACTGCTGCCCCCTCCATGCCACTCTCTGCCTCTCTGTTCTACAGCTTAGTCCTCTGCCCTTGCCGTAGACCGCCTCAGCATGGAGGGGCCTAGTGACTCCTCTTCACAAAGCATATTCTGAAATCCAAAACAATGACCAGGACTCCACTTATTTTGAAGTACAGCTATATTGTTTTAATTTTTTGAACTTAGCATTTATGCTCACATTCTCTGCAGCCCCATGAGCCTCTCTGCCCTCCTAATTGGGGTCTCCTTTCCACCACTGCCCTGATATCAGCCCTCTCTCCCTCAGGCCTCCCCTCCTGCTGCTAAGGAGCCCTGTGTTTGGGAAACGTCTTCCTCTGTGGGGTTTCTGCAGGAGGACAGGGGTAGAGCTGCCTTAGACACTGCAGATTGGAGGGGAGCACATAGTGACTTCTCTGAGAGGCTGGGACAGCACCTATTTCGCCTTCCGTTAGACACGGAGTCTGCACTCCTGATCTAGCCCAGCCCTGAGATATCTGAGGGAACCCGTGACTTTTGTTCACTTCCATGCCCTTCCAAACACTGTTTTCAGGAATGCAGGTTAGCATAGAAGGGTGGAGTTAATTGCTTGAGCCCCTGCGCAGCACAGGGAGGCCCCTTCTCCAAGTACCCCAGCGGAAACAGGAAGTGTCCTGGTTCCTATGCAGTGAAATCTGCCTCTTGCGCAACAAATCCAATTATGCACATTTCAGTGTTTCCAGCAGTACAGGGGCTCCAGCAGCAGCCTCAAGGGCAGCGCCTAGTGTGATCTCAACAGAAATGCTCACAGTCACTTAAACCCTCTCAAGGTGACAGAGTGCCACTTGCATTGTCCCTTCCTTATAATTTGTTCAGGATGATCTGGCCCATGAGAGGACTGCTTATGAATATACACCTGCTGGGATGGCTCTGGCCATCAACGTGCTTCTTGACGTCACCTGCAGCAGCCCTGCTCCTGCCCTCATCTTAGGAGCCACATCTCTCCCTGTGATACACTCCAGCCCCCTCCGCGCTCTGGGATGGATGTCTGGGGCTGCTCCTGCCTCTCACTTTCTTCACTGCCCCACCCTGGGAGCCACCCAGCAGTCAGGACGGGTCACACACCCGCAGTGATGGCCCCTTCTCCCATTTCTAGCACTCAAGATTCCTTCTTTTGGTGCAGTTAGGGCGCTTTTCCTCCAAAGGACCTCTGCTGTCCGCGTGGCATCCTCTCGGCACCTTCTCTCTTGCAGCACTTGTTTATCGTCTTTAAAGCGGGGCACGTGAGCTGCTCGTCCACACCCGGGAAGGTTTGTGCACACAAGAGCAGCTCTGCACCAGGTTTCCCTCTCCATCTCCTCTCCCCACCTACTGAGGACACCACTGCGTTGCATTCGGGCCCCCGCTACACCTCCCTCGAGCTTGATGACCTCGTAAAGAGCCTGTCTCTAAGTACAGTCTGATTCTAAAAGTCTGGGGCTGTGACGCTGATCTGTCTCTTTGGTGGACACCGTGCAACCCATAGGCTGAGATAAAAGGTTGCGTGGAAAACGCAGACAGGAAGGAGGGGGTGAGATGGGGGGGGACTCACCCCACCGTGGATGTCAGTGGTGCCTGAAGAGGCAGGCAGGGAAAGAGCAGCAAGGGAGTATTCCCAGGAAGGAGGCAAGGAGCCACTTAGCACATCCCAGAACGTTCTCACAGAGGAAGGGAGCAAGACATGGAGGGAGGAACAAGGAAGAGGAGGGAAAGGGGATGAAAGGCGAATTCAGATGTTTCATGTGCACCAACCAAGGCTGCATAAGGAATGGAAACCTTATTTACTGCAAACATGTACAAGAAAGGGCGGGGTGATGAAAGAAAGAGGTGGGTGATGGAAGGAGGGGTGGAAAGGATAAAAAAGAATGAAGGTGTTTGTGTACACGGACCCGCTCCCCACGACGAATGTAAACAGCGTGTCCTATGACCACACACCAACGAAACGATCGGAAAAAAGGGCTGGGGATTTAGCTGACTGTACGGACCCTGGATTCAGTTTTCTCCGTCTCCTTTTCCAGTGATACTTTTCCACTCTGGTATACTTATGCGTGGCATCAAGTTTCCCATCTTAACCATTCTGGAGGGTGTAGATGAGGAGCACTCAGCATATTTCACCGTTCCCATCCATTCTAGAAGGAGTTCATGCTCCCCAGCCGAAGCTCCGTCTCCACTTACTCCCGTTCACTCTCCCCCCAGCTCCTGACTTGCACTTTCTGCTTTCTGTTCCTAGGAAACCCGCCTCCTGTAGGGCCTTGTATCCGCCCAAGGCGCAGTATTGGCCCCTGTGGCGGGCTTAGCTCACTCAGCGTGATGCCTTCCAGGTTCACACAGGCTGTAGCACCGGCAGAGTTTTCTCCCTTCGTGTGCCACCTAGTGGCCACACGTGTTTATCTGCCTGTCCCTCAGTGGACATCCGGGTCGTTTCCCCTCTGAATTGCTGTGCACAATGCCATGATCACGGCTACGGAAATAGGCACTCAAGACCCAGCCTGGACCTCTTTTGTGCGCATGCCCACATGTAGCACTGACGAATCGCTTGGCATTCAAGCCAAGATGAGGCAAGGACCCAAGGGTTCTATATTTTGCCATCTGCTTCTATCACTCAGGCCTCATTTTTCAAGGGCACAAAAAAGGTCATGGGTAGGCATTCTTCTAATTGAGCGGGAGTTGTCTGCTTGTCGACTCTGCCTCTGTAGTACTGCAGATGGGACCTAGGGCCTAGTGACACCTCCAGCCACCGTTGGTTCTCTTGGTGTGAGTAAATCCCCTTGAGTACAGGGAGAGGCAGGAAGCACCACGTGAGTCTGCATTGCCCTTCATGTCTGTGTCACTCCCTGAACTCGCATGCCCTGTGACCTGTTTGTGCTCTTTCTCCTCAGCAGGAATGTGGGGGTCATGAGTTTACGTCTGTCACTAGACACCCAGGTTCAAACGTATTAATGTCCACACCACCTTGATACAAAGGCCTGTGTTATGCAAAACACAGGATCAAGCCGAAGCGAATATTTATGGGAGTTCAAGATTTTTTCAGCCCTATTTACTACCTCAGATTTTACCTAACAGTACTTCTCTTCTTGTAGGTGCTTCATCATTTTTCATTGGTCTTTTCTTGCTGGTCGGACATTTCTCCCTCCCTGTTGAAGGCTTTCTGTTCTCTGAAGACTATTTATTCCATCTTGCAAAGGTGGAAAATGACCCTCGACACCTGTTGGTAAGTGCTTATATCAGTTACATGTGGTTTTCTTACTTGGCCTTTGCGAAGGACATGTCCCTACCCCACTGGTTTCAGACAGAGACAGCACCACATTCACCCAAGCTCGCACATTTTCCTGGCGACTATAGCGTTCTCCTTCCTCGCGCCCTCTCTCCATCCAAGCTCCCTGATCCTGCGGCTCGTTCCCTCAGATCTCCTTTGGCAAGGAAGCTCTCTGGACAGTGAATTCTCAAAATTGCCCATCGCTTCCATGCCTGTCTCACAAAGCGACTTTCACGGCAGACAGCTGCCTTCCCCAAATGAGAAAGCACACGCCATGGAAACCTGGGCCTCTGTGGGGCCTGGCTGGAGACAGCAGACTGCGCGGGAAGGAGACAGACTTTGAGGGCCCTAGAATTTTTGCCTGGGCAGAGCCCACATTGCCCACATGCCTGGGCAGGCATTACTACCTCCTCCTGGGAATCAACACCGGGGGTGGCCCTGCAACCTTAAATTTGTTGCCACCCCTGAGGCTGCCATGCATTTGAATTGACAGAGGAGTCAAATCACCGAGTTCACAGTGTAAATGCGAAGTGTGGGTTTCCTTTGTATATTTGATGCACATGAAATACATCAGGATTGCTCAAATTTGCACGCAAGAGAAGCCAATCCCTATAAGTCGAATTTTGAGCAGGCAATGCATGAAAAGATCTAATGATTTGTGACATATACAGACCTTCGAGGTCACAGTCATTGTGCCTTTAAAGTATGGGCACTTTTCATTACAAAGCGTTGTAGATAGGGCTGATAGTTTATCTCAGTGGTAGAGCACCCCCTAGCATGAGTGAAGTTGCGGGTTCAAGCCCCACCACTGTCAAACAAATCCTGGAAATATATGTATATAAGAATGAAAATCTCCACTCTATCAAGTTGGTCTTGGAATCACTTATTTTCTGTACACCTTTTAAATCTTTAAAATAGCATGTTCATATCTATTTGTACATATAAAGAAAATCAGCTATCTCTTCTTTAACATATATCGCTTCATATGTTTTATTATTCATTTCGGATCTTAGATTTTATTCATTCTGGGTATTTTTTTGTTTTGTTTTGTTTTTCCCTACAGTTCAGATGTATGAACTCTTTCTTGGAATTGGCCATGTAATATTCCACTGCAGTCTTAGTGAGTCTCTATTTTATTTGAACATCCCTCCATAAACATTTTGGCTATTTCCATTTTTTCCATTGCAAATGGCACTGAAATGAACATCACTGCATATGTTTCCACAAACTCTTCTTTTAGGATGAATTCTCAAGATTGGAATTCATACTTGCAAGCATAAGATCCTGAGTTTGATTCCTGGCACCAGAAAAAAAAAAAGATTGGAATTCATAGACACGATCTATGACTATTTCCACTTGTGAAAGCTACGGCCACCCTGCCGTCCAAAATCTCCTACGAAGTCATACTCCTGCCATCATCATGGACGCCTGGGCTGTTTTTCCTTCTCCTCTCTTCACCTTTCCTTTTCTTTCCTCTCTTCTGTTCCTCTTTTCTCCCTTCCTTCCCTTCATCCTTCCTTTCCTCCCTGCCTTCCTTGCTCTCCCCCTTTCTCTTCCATTCTTTATTTTGGGGGCCAGGTTCTCGGGAAGTACTCCAGGCCAGCTGTGTATCACTCTTTTGCCCAGGCTGGCCTTGAACTCTAGATCCACTCTCCTCAGCCTCCTGACTGCTAGGATTACAGGTGTCCCACCACATACAGCTGCTAAGCCCTTTTTATTCACGCTTAAAATATTTAGGACAGTACTAGGAATGGAGAACATTTAAATGTGACTTTCATGTGTATTTACCTCTCTCTAACCATGACTCATGCTCTGTTTTTTCTCCTTCCTTGGTGTTCCTGCCTTGACTTCCTGCCTCTTCAACCTCCTCTGCAGTTTTCCTGGAGTGAAGCAACACATCTGTGCCCTGATTGCCTTCCTGTCTAGTTCTGTGGCCTGGGTATTGGGTATCACCCTAGTGAGCAGCATATCCTGGCGAGTGTGGGAACTGGACAGCCAGGTTGTTCCCCTTGCCTTCATTGGCCTTTGGAATGCTAGATATTATGTCAGGCGAAATAACTCTGGCACAGTGGTTGATATGCCAGTGCAGACCAGCATCCACAGCGGGTGGACCCAGGCAACTGAGCTTCAATATGCAAAAGATCTAATGGTGTTGGTAAATTTCACTCAGCCAGCGGCTCTGATTCTCAGCACAGTGGCCTTCTTAGTCAGCAGACTGGAGCCCACCTATCCAGAATTCCTGCGACTCTATTACAGAAGCTCAGCCCTCCTTCTTTTCCTCAGCTCTGGCTGTGTGGCTCTGGCTGTGAGCTGGAACTATGCCATGGATATGTATGGCCATAGTACCCTTGACTTCCCAGGAGAGTTTGCTGTGGACAAAGAGGCTGTGACCAAAAAGCACTTCTCCTATGTGTTTCCGCTAGGGATCGTCACTGCCACTCTGTCCCTCCTCAGTGGCATCCTAAGCTTTGGGGTCCTGAGCTTCACACAGCCCAAGGACCAAGTAAGGAAAGCTGAGGGCCGAGAGCTGGGATGCGTGGCAAGGCCTGAGCACAGGGTGCTTGAGGAAATCGCCACCTCGTTGGCATGCTGAGGCGACTATGTTCTCACTGCAAATAAACTCCGTACCTTTGACTGCTCAGCATGTTTCTCAAGGTCCTGGCCTCCCTCATCCTGTCAGTTCATTTCTTCTTTGTTGGAAGGGTTTCATTCCTGGAAATCTGCTGCCCCGCACTTCCTGTTCACAGGCTGCCAAAATGCACAGGCAGGGAAGTGTGCCGGTTGGTGTGTGCCAGCTCAAAGCAGTGACAAAGCCGAAATCCAGGCTGGCCCCGTGTGAGGAAATGGGCTCCCCTGTGCACACAGAGAATACCCGTTCTCAGAGCTTTGAGGTCCATCCCCGGTCCTGAAAAACAACAACAGCAGCAACCTTACTGAATTATATATTCTGAGTATGTTCAATCCTATCAATTAAATTTTAATGACTGTTTATTAATAAAGAAATAGGCCAATGGGATAGAGTGCCTGGAAACAAACCTAACAATATGGGACAGAAAATTCTCAGCAGTGTGCAGTGTACATACTTATATCATGTTTTAGTTTGCAGATCCACAGCTGACCCCAGTCCTGTACCGCATCCATCTATCCTTCCTCCTGGTGAGGAGTCTGGGTTGGGCAATGTCCTTAGCTGTTGAAACGGACACACCAAGCCCAGTCATAAAGCTCTGTGTCCTGCCTTCAGTCATTTCACACCTGCTAATCTTCCATGGAAAAAGCTTAGCATAAAGGGAGCAGATCAGGCTCCACCTGCCCAGGGGAAGGAACTGTGGGGACACACGTGAGAAAGTGACTGCAGAGAGATCTGAGATTAGGGCTGTTCGTGGGTTCCACTACCACAGCAATGTCTACGAATATAAGAGGCACTCAGAGCTCCAAAAGCACAGAGCCAACTTGCCCAGTGCAAAGCCCCTCCGTCACTTCCTAGCTGTGTGGCCCTGAGCAAGCGAGCTGGCCTCTCTGGGCCGCATGTCCTCTCCTGTCAGAGAAGATGAGCTGTTATGGGGCGTGTGTGTGACTGAGCCTGAAAGCCAGATCTGGATCACAGAAGTGCTGTGCATGCTGTGATGATGGCGGCCACCTGTGCATGCAGGGATGGGCTCCTGAACCCCAGTGGATGCTGACATCGGAGACAGGGCTGGAGGAAGTGGAGGGAAGTTTCTGGGATTTTGATAATTTTTCTACAGTGAAAGGGAGCCAAAAGAAAGTTGCAACAGCTGTCCATGAGGGCATTCGAGTAAGTGGCTAGAAGCCAGGTGCAAGAGATCCAATCCCATATGATTCGAGGTACGGGGTCCCTAGAGGAGTCAATTCTAGAGATCAAAGGTGGTGAGTGGCCAGGGGCTGGGGGCACGAAAGAATGGGGACGTGGCAGCTCACAGAGTTAGAGCTGCAGGTGGACAATGAGAGGATGGTGTGGAGATGAATAGTCCTACTAGTCACACAGCCATGTGAGCATACTCAGTGCCCTGAACTACACATTAAAAAATGGATAAAAAGGCAAACGCTGTGCCAGCGGTGGAGACGCCGTAGAGCGTTTAATGACACAAACAGCCTGCTGCAACAAGCATGCCATGGGTTTGCCCCCATTGGGCTATGCTAATCAAGGAGGTGGAAATCACAGAACAAGAGGAAGTAAACGGATGGCACTAGATGATGAAAAGACCCCTCCTGTTTATGGACAGGCAGACTTAATATTGTTGTCATGGCCACATGACCAAAAGCAGTCTATAGATTTAATGAAATCTACGTAAAAATAATAAAAGTCTTTACAGACCTAGAGCACACAGTACTAAAATTCATATGGAAATACAAAGGGTCCAGAACAGCCAAAGCTATCCCGAACAGAGAGCAATGATATAGGTAGCACAAGATTAAGGTTTAAGATTTACTGCACTGCCATAGTAACAAAAACAGCATGGTACTGGCATATAAATAGACATACAGCAATGGAGTACCATAGAGTATACAGAAATAAACTCACGCAACTATAGCTCTCTAATTTTTGATGAAGAAACCAGGAGCATACATTGGAGAAGTGGCCTTTTTATCATGTGATGGTGGGAAAACAGGACATCCGTTTGTAGATGGTCTCTGTCTCACTCTGTACAAAGATCTGTTCAAAATAAATCAAAGACCTCGATATTAGACCTAAAACTTTGAAATTGCCAGTAAGAAATATAGGAAAAAACACTTAAATTCCTTGCCACATGCAAAGACTTCCTGAAACAGGCTCTAAGAGCCCAGGGAGTAATAGCAGGAATCAACAAATGGGACTGTATGACCCTACAACATTTGGCAGAGAAAAGAAAACAGTGAAGAGAGCCTCTCTCAGAATGTGAGAAATTGTTGTCAGCTACTCTTCTGACAAAGGGTTAATATCTACACTGTCTAAAGAACTCAAAACACCCCCACAAAAATGGTACAATCACTAAATGGACAAATGACTTGTCCTGACTCTTCTCAAGAGAAGAAACACAAGCAGCAGTTCATCCGATGGAAAGGGGCTCGTGGAAACATAGATCAAAACTACACTGAGATTCTACCTACCTCAAGTCAGAATGGCTCTCATCGAGAATACAAAATCCAATAAACTTCGGAGGGAACGAGGAGTAGAGAAAATGCTTCTACCCTTCGGGTGGGAATCTGAATGCACACAGGAAGTGTAAAAAGCCGTGTGGAGGTTCTGAATCGAACAAAACTAGAGCTGCATTTGATCCATTTTATCATTTCTCAGTATGTTCCTGAAGGAATTACCGTAATCATACAACAAAGATATGCACAATATCCATGTTTATTGCAGGCAAATCACAATAGCTGAGCTATGAAGTCATCCTCGGCTCATCAGCAGATGAATAGATAAGTAAAATGTGTCATATATATATATATTATATTGTGGAGTATTATTCAGCCATAAAGACAAAATCACATCATTTGCCAAGAGATGAAAAATGGAGGTAACAGCAGAAAAAAATTATGGCTCACAAGCACCATCATTTGGATCTATCCACACATTACCTGTCACTCATGGCTCACAGCCACCCCAACTCTACCTAGTCTATCACCGGTAGCGAATCAAAGGTGTAGGGTGCATTTGTCAGACAAGATCTTAAGCCCCAGTGTGTGCTTTGCAATCATTGCTTAAAACCACAGGAGCAGTCTTGTGAACGCTCAAGTGGCCCAAGAGCGACACACAGGTGTCCCTTTGGTGGTCATAGCAGGAAGTCACTTTCTTTTTGCTACTCTGAATTACCTAGGGAATGTTTAATGAGCTCTAAGAGAGAAACTTTAAAAAACACCAATTGTATTTACCCTGTACACATCCTCACGTTCCCCACCAAGCAAAACAAAGCCACAAAGGAGCCCTCTGACACCTTACTTCCACTCTGTGCTCCACAGAGTGCTCTTGCTCACAGGCTCCCACAGGCTGTCTACACTGCTTGTCCACATCCCCAGTGGCTGTCAGGTAGGAGCTGAGAAATCCTCCTCCCCCAGAATGACCACGGCACCCAGGGCCCACTTCTGCAAAAAAGAGCATGTTAGGGAGCCCCGCCAGGCCAGGCTGCAGCACCGCGCCAGAGCTCCTTGCATCTAGGCACACAGAGGACACAAGGCGATGTCTCCTCACTTGTGCTGACACTAAACTCCACTTCCAGTCTCACTCACACTCAGGCCTCTAGTGAGGCTGTGTCTGCACTGCTTGTACAGCCTGGCAGGGAAGACTTTCCTTTTTTAATGAGACCCTAGTACCTCCCATTACCATCTTCCCTAGCTTCTCTGACAGGGGCTCCCTAACCATGTTCTGTGCACATTTTTTCGCTCTCTCCTTAAGGCATCCAACTCCCCTGATCACATTTAGCAACAATTGGCACCATGGAGTTTGTTGATATATTCCCATAATTCAGCCCGTAGGAGGCTGAGGCAGGATGATCTCAAAGTTTGAGCCTAGCCTAGGCAACTTAATTACTTAGTAAGACCCAGTCATTTACTGACTAACTAACTAAATATCTGCCTGTGGTTGTCACAGTACAGAAGCTCTAGGGCCAATTGTCAGTACTATAAAAGGAGAGAGAGAGAGAGAGAGAGAGAGAGAGAGAGAGCATTGAAGGGAGAAAGGAAAGAAGGAAGGAAGGGAGGGAGGGAGGAAAGGAAGGTGTGCCATTTACTGAGCACTCACTGTGGAGCAAGCACTGTGCAATGATACAACACTCCACAAAGCCATCTTATTATCAGTGAGGGCGGTGAAGCTCTCAGAGGTTTAACAATTTGCCCAGGTCCTTCCCTTAACTATCCAGCAGCAGTGGCAGAATTTGAACCCAGCCCTGTCTGACTGTCAGACTGGCATGTCACGGCTGGGGTGCACTTGCTCAGCAGGTTTCAGAGGGCTCAGTGGCTCCTTTGCACAGCCCCTCGTGTCTGCCCATACCCAGCCAGGATCACTGTGCTCCCAGAAATGCCTCTTCCCGAGGGACAGAGGGATCTTTCCAAAATGCTAATCTCCCACACAGTACACAACAACAAATACACAAATAACCCTCTCTACCTCCTTTTTGTGGCTCATCCTCTGTTCTGCTACTTCTCTCCCACTTCGTGCCTTTACTCCAAACCATGTCACACAATCGAGCCAAAGTCTGTGTTCCGCCCTGGCTATTGCTCAAGTGCGCCCTCAGCCGGCCCACATCCCTGACCTCGTCTTTATGTGTCCTCCCAGGGTCTGCGGTGGCCCTGACACATCAGAAGTTCTCCACCAAAGCTAAGTGTCTGGGTGCATGCAGGTGTACACAAATGGTTGCACTGCCTTGCCACGAATTTCTAAACGAGTGAGCACAATCAACGTGGACCACTGGGTTACAGTTCTTGAAGAGATTCAGTTCATGATTCTGTTGTCATCAGTGGCACATCCCACCTCCCAGCAGAAAAACACAATAGAAAGGTCATTGCTTTGAAAATAGGGCCTTGATAATTGCTGGCTGTAGGTCAGTCCCAGAGCGCTGGCTGCTGTTGAAATATAAGTGAGACATTTTGAATCCCTCCTCCGGGCCTGGTGTTTCTAAGAGTTTTGTACTTTCTCATGCCTCCCAGGGAAGAAAGTGTCAACAATGGGGCTGGCCTGCAATGCACTGGGTCCAGAATAAGCATTTTACAATTTTTGCATATAACACAAATTCTTGGCCAAGTGGTCCTGATCGTGACTGCCTATAACCGTTCAGTAATATCAGTCTCTGGAAAATGTATCATTTATTCTTTGTGTGTATCTGAGTACTGATTTCAACCCTACTCCAAATGCTTTGAGCAGTCCCTGAGCTACCTGTCAGATATTCTAGTACACATTGAGCAAGCAGAGTGGAC